GCCCCTGATGCTGCTTGGCCTGCTGTGTTCATCCAGCTCTACACCTTGTTATCTCAGATTCTCCAGCATCTGCAGTTCCTACTATCTCATGAATATCATGGTATTAAGCAGTCCGAAAGATATTTATTACAATTAAACATTTTACACTAGCCTTATATTCCTCAAACACGAAACTGTCTGAGCTAAGATAAAGCTATTATTTCAGGACAGAGGAGCATGCTTCCAGTTGAGGAGCATGCTTCAAATGATCTGAGGTAAGATGGAGTGTGAGATCTTTATACCCTCAGCAGTGAATGATCATAAAAATACTGCCAGACTCTCCACGCGACACCACACAACAGTTGTGGCAATAGTTTTGTCATTTTGAGAGTTGAATCGTTTTTATTTGTACAGTGGATTATAACGTCTTAATTTTACCTTAATAACAAATCTATATATTTCATCTGATTTTTAAGAACAAAACTGAGGAATTTTTAAAAAAACTTTAACTGTTAACATATAAACATTCCAACTTCCACAGCTGTTGACAAATTCTTCACATAAAATGTGAACAGTACATGTATGCTCAGAAGAATTAAACATATGTAAAAGGCAGAGATAACAAGGTTAGAGCTGGATGAACACAGCAGGCCAAGCAGCATCAGAGGAGCAGGAAGGCTGACGTTTCGGGACTAGACCTTTCTGAAGGAGGGTCTAGGCCCGAAACATCAGCCTTCCTGCTCCTCTGATGCTGCTTGGCCTGCTGTGTTCATCCAGCTCTGCACCTTGTTATCTCAGATTCTCCAGCATCTGCAGTTCCTACTGTCATATGTAAAAGGCAGACAGAAATACAGTAAACTGGAGTGATTGACAGCTGTGGTGAGAATAGATTGACAAAATTTTATGCAGCATAACAAAGACTAACTGAGTTAGAGATATTGACAATGGATATACTTTGACAATGGCAAAATGCAGGACAATGGACACCAACTATTCGTGAATGGAAGGAAGGAACGTTTGGTCATTATACCCTAAATTCTGTGAACAGTTGACAGATATAAGAGAAGAAAATGACATTTGGATTTACCAGAACAAACTAACTAGATGGATTCAAGATTGCTAGATAGAACTTAATGCTGTTAAGTGAAATGGAATAATAGGACAGAAAAAGAACAGATGAATATGCAATTCAATAGTATCCAACACCCAAACAGTATGATTATGCATCTTTCTGTCACACCTGTTGGTCAGTGTGGTTAACAACACTGTCAACAATCCTTATTGAAAACATGATTCATCATGAGGGGCTTTCACTATAAGCTGAAAAAAGTTGCTGTGACTTGGGTGGCATGGTGGCTCAGTGGTTAATATTGCTATCTCACAGTGCCATGTTACCTGGGTTCAATTCCAGCTTTGGACTGTGGAGTTTGCACTTCTCCCCCCGTTGGTGTGGGTTTCCTCCGGTTGCTTCTCCCACAGTCCAACCTTTACAGGTTGGGTGGATTAGCCATGCTAAATTGCCCAGAATGTCCAACGATGTGCAGGGTAGGTGGATTAGCCATGGGAAGTGCAGGGTTACAGGGATGGGGTGCGTCTGGGTGGGATGCTCATCAGACGGTTGCTGTGGACTTGATGGGTTGAGTGGCTTGCTTCCACGCTGTGGGGATTCTACGACTTCATGTAGATCATTGGTGGGGACAGATTTGGCATATGGCTCATGTTTTGTATGGATTGGAGACTGATGAGAATGTGGAGACGTCTGTATTGTAAGTAAGGGAAGAATTGGCTATGAAGAGCAGCACGTTTCCTTTATTCTTTATTCGTTCACACGATGAGGGTGTTGTTGGCTAGGCCAGCATTTATTGCCAATCAGTACAGTTTTGAGTCAACCACATTGCTGTAGGTCTGGAGTCACATGTAGGCCAGACCAAGTAAGGACGGCAGTTTCCTTCCCTGAAGGGCATTAGTGAACCAGATGGGTTTTTCCGCCAATCAGCAATGGATTCATGGTCACCATTAGACTCCTGATTCCAGATATTAAATGAAGTCAAATTCCACCAGCTGCTGTGGCGGAATTTGAACCCAGGTCCCGAGAACATTACCTGGGTCTTTTGATTTAACAGTCCAGTGTTAATACCACAGGCCATTGCCTCCCTTTATGATCTGCAGTTCCACTGGAAACAGTATCTCTGCAGATTTTTCTCTCAAGATTTTAATGGATGGACAAAGTTTGTGAAGTGAAGTTTAGGTCAAGTGAATTACATATCAGTTAGGATTACATATCAGAGAGAATTGTATGTGCCAGATGGCATTTTCTTGATCTAAGCTTTGTTTAAATTGAGACAGCAGCAGATAGAACTGATCTTAGGATATTTTCCAGTCATTCATTTTTGTCATTATAGATTCTTCTTTTTCTTCTCATAAAAATAATGGCTTTTCAAGAATTTGTACCTTATTCCCTGACAAAGTAACTACAGCAGGTACACAGACTTGTGGTTTGTTGCTTTATGATACCGTGGCTCCTGTCTTTTTTGTTGGACCTTAGGCAAGCAGGAAAGCAGCTCGAGGGAAAGCTTCATCCAAACAGAACCAACGAAGCTCCTCAAATGTCTTCTCCATGTTTGAGCAGTCTCAAATTCAAGAGTTCAAGGAGGTGAGGAGTCCATGTCCTGTCTATGATTATTGTTATGATTGAGGCTGTTGCTTGAGTCCCATTACACCTTGGGTTGCGACATAATGTAAAAAGTTTGTCTAGTTACTAAGATGGCCCAATAAATTCTGTAAACAAGTACGACTGGTTTATTGTCAAAGCAAAACATATATTCTATCAAGATGCAATAATTAGTTGTTGATAACAGAGAATTATACATGCTTATCCCTCTAAATATTACCAAAATACAAATGTGATAAATGGGAAGAAATGGATTTCTCTGTAGAGATTAACTTTCTGAAAAAGACCTCATGAACCACATGCCTTTTTGAGACCCTCTTGCCTGATTCTAGCCCAAACCTATCACTCGCTATTCCTGGAACACTCACTGGATATCTGCTGAAAGATAAGCATGCCTGGTGCTTGCAACATATTTAAAAACTCACTCTGCGCCCTGATGAGCACAGGCATTCCAAAGCTGCCCTGCTTGGCGACGGACAGTCATTCTGAGAAGGGGAAAATAGCATCGTGATTCTCTAACAAGGACATAGGTCCTGGTGAATGGGTTGGTGCAAAGGAAGGGAGTCCTCTTCTTGGAGAACTGGCAGAGGACACAACACGACTGGACCCTGGCAGCCTGATCTGAGATCATCACCTGGGTCAGTGCAGTCTTACTCATGTGGAGGAATGGCCAGCAGCACTGCAAGGAGGTCAGTGATGTACTCCACTCTGCCAGGGTAAGTGCCACAGCCTTCCTTCTCATTCATTGTCTCTGCGATTACACTCACGTCCTGCCAATGCTCATACTCAACCACTCTCAATATTTCCTGCAACATCATCTCTCACTTGTTCTTGATCAGCCCCAACCTCCCACACCACAAACCCCCATGGCTTCTGCACTTCCTACGCACTTGGCTGGGATACCTCACCACCTTTGAACTTGTCCCAGCACTAGCTGGGCCACCCACTTTCATCTAATTCAAATTGTCCCTTTTTCTCAGTCCAGGAGAAAACAGCCCTTTCATAACGGTGAAGATGGACCCAGGACGGGTTGAGAGGTGTTCAACATTGCCCACTACAAGGAGAGAATCCTGTCCCTTGGAAGAGAAGACAGGGATTGCTCCTGCAGGGATGCTGAGACATCTCCATATCCTGCCAACTAAATAAGAGGCACTTTTCAGTCCACTGCCATTCTCATATTAACCCCACTGTCAGTGTCAAGCATTACACACCACTTTGAACCATTGGCTGACATGCCTACTCTCCCTTGTGCCTTCCAGGTACCGTCAAGAAATCCATAACTCGTGTGAGAAATGGGCTGCTGTGCAAGAAGGTGCCCCCTAAACCTCTGAGGAAGAGAGTTCCATGTTATCAGAGGATGCATTAGCAAGGCTGCATCCTGCATCTTCCTCCAGCTCAGATATTGACACCTTGGTGCCAATGTTCGGGTTAGAAAGTGTGGGAGCACAATCTGCTGAGTAGCTCCCTGTGACAGCAAATGTCCAGCTGCCAGCTGTCAGAGGACTGCTGGAGACCAGGCACCTGCTCAGCCCCAGGCAGGGCAGCATGCTGTGGTGTCAGCAATCAGGGACTTCATCTACAGGAGCAGCCTACAGGTATGTGGGAGGAAATGGCCATCAAAGCCCAGAGGCTGCAGAAGTCCAATGAGACCAAGCTGCCTCAAATACACGATCCTCCATTTGCCTCCATGGATAGGTTGGCAGCTGCCATGGAGAGCCAGGTCTAGCACTGTCAGGTTCTGCTGGAAACTTGCAAACGCCTGCACTCTATAGCCCTAGCCACTGGTCCTTCCGGCTGATGGAAGGCCATGTGGCACTGTGCACTCTGTGTCCCTTCGTCACATAGGGTGTGGTGGCAGAAGGCACCCAGTCAGAGGAGAAACCACACACAGGTCCCTCAGAAGACTCCTCTCCAGACACTTCAGAGATGGCTGGGCCCTCCACCCTACCTGTCTTCAGTGACCTTTGAATAATCAAGTGAGAAGGGTCCACTTGTCTCTAGCATCCAGACACACGTGCTCCAAGGTCACCCAACCAAACTTCCAAACAACAGAGCCCACTGCTGACCAGGCTCCCTCCATCCCAGCTGTAGACCTTTGATCAACACTAAGGTGTAGCGGGAGGGAAAGAAATAAAATTTGAGGTGAGTTTGGTTGCAAGGGCGACAGTTGATTTCATTTAAAGTTTCACATTTGTTAATATTATTGGGTTTTACAATACTTTCTCTGTTTGTTTCTCTGTGTAGCCCTGAATGTAACTGTGTCAGTGTGATGCTTTACTTCATGTTCATACAGGATGTACCTTGGATTGATGTCTATGCTGAATGCACTTGTCAGTTGGAGTATTTGGAAGCATGATGAATGTTGTACATTCAGCAATGGATTCTGCTGGCACCATTCCCTTGGTCAAAGATCCCTATTCTTTCCCTGGCCCCTGTGTGTGAAGTGTATGTGCTGAAAGAAGTGGTCAGCAATGTCTGGGGCAGGAAGATATACAACACACAGGGAGCCAGGGCTGAAGGGGCCTGCAGGTCCATGTGCTCACCAGTATATATTAACTCCACTGTCAGTGTCATTCATGACACACCAGTTTGAACCATTGGCTGAGCTGCCTTCTCTTGCCCTTGAAAGGACATCAACTAAATGGGTTTTGCAGCCTCTTCCTTCACAAGTCAAGACACTTAACCACCCATTTAAGGTGTGATCACAGCCATTTTCTTTCACATTGTGTATTTACAAATTTCAGGACAATGGAAGGCGACAACAAATACAGTTCAGGCATTGGTTTCCAGCCTCTGCCTCCCAGTGTTGGTAAGACCCCTAACATCCAGATCACCTTCCTGCGAGATCTTCTTGTAAACCCCATAGGGTTCTCTTCTCTCCAGGTCTCCCCTCAGCTCATCTACATGACCCTTTACCTGCACACCTTCAACCCACCTCACCCCCACCCCCCTCCCCACCAGCCCCTGGCAAATGCAGTGAATATGCTATGGGCGGTCATATGCTCCTTCCCACTCTTGGAACCAGGGTATTCCTGACTGTAGTTGAACATCCCTCCCACATGATGAAATTCCAATCCATGCCTTAGGATATACACCCCTTCCAAATACAGTAGCCCAGTCTTCACAACTGTCATCCTGTCTTTTTCACAGCTTGCAGCTTCTAATCTCGACAAATAGCTTGTATAGTCCCCTACACACAGCAACAGCCTCCTTAAAAACCGAAAGAACTGTGGATGCTGTAAATCAGAAACAAGACTGTTGAGAACAATGTGACTCTTCTTTGAAACTGAAGGGGACCGGAAAAGTGTGTTTTCTATGCTGTTGACAAAGTAGAAGGGACAGTCACTAGAGTTAGCAAGAACTGCAGATGCTGTAATCAGAGTCAATACAGTGTGGAGCTGGAGGAACACAGCAGGCCAGGCAGCATCAGAGGAGTGAACACAGCAGGCCAGGCAGCATCAAAAGACCAGGAAAGTTGACGTTTCGGGTCGGGACCCTTCTTCAGAATTGGGGAAATGTCCATCTTCCCCACCTATCTGCCACACCCATCCCACTGACCAATCCCTGCCATTCCCTACCTGCATTCACCTATCACCATCCCACCTACCTTCCCCATACCCACACCTCCTCTCCCTATTTATTTCTGAGCTCCCTTCCCCCTTCCCATTTCTGAAGAAGGGTCCCGACCCAAAATGTCAATTTTCCTGCTCCTCTGATGTTGTCTGGCCTGCTGTGTTCCTCCAGCTCCATACTATGTTGTGTCTGAAAGTGACTGGAGTCTTCACTTCAAAAAGAATGAAACATAAAGACAGGGAAGTCTTCCTAAAACTGCATAAGGCACTTGTCAGACCACAGTTGGAACACTGAACAGTTTTGGGCCTTTATCTAAGGAAAGGTATGCGAGCATTTGAGGCAATTCATAGAAGGTTCACTAGATTGGTCATCAGCATGGAAGGATTTCCAAATGGTTGAGCAGGTTTGGCTTGTACTCATTGGAATTTAGAAAAATGAGAGAAGACCTTTATTTAAACACAAGATTTTTTAGGAGACTTGACAGTGTAGATGCTGAGAGGTTATTTCCCTTTGTGGGAAAGTCTCAGGCCAGCAGACAGCATCTGAATCAGGAGCTAACCATTTAAGACAGATGAAGAGAAATTTCTTCCCTGGGGGGATAGTGAATCCGTGGAATTTTTTTTTACCACAGAGGGCTGTCAAGGCTGGATGATTAAGTATATTCAATGCTGAGATAGGCAGGTATTAAGATACTGCTGATGAGACAGATGTGAAATAGGTTTCAATGGCATTGGTTGAAAGTTTGCTGTGAATAGTAGAAAGTAGGTCAGCTCTACAGGGAGCAAACAAGACACTAGGAATGGGCGAGGTGTCAAATCAAAATGTAGGATGGTGTCCATGCTTCCTTGGACTCAATATTACATCTCAAAGGCTGTCAAGTACCTCAGTGGAAATTTAGGGACTGTTCCTCCAGCTTGGTTTGGCTTTCACTGGAGCACTGTCTGGATAATGATGGAAATGTTCGCATGAGAAGGAGATGGTGTACTAAAATGGCAGGTATCTCGAAGGTTGAGGTCGTTCTCACAGACTGACTGGATGTGTTTGGCAAAGTAGTTACTCAGTTTGCGTTTGGTCTCTTTCGTGTATAGGAGGCTACATTGTGAGCAGTGAATGCAGTGTACTAGATTAAAAGAAGTTCAAGTAAAATACTCCTTCATTTGGAAGTTGTGTTTGGGGCCTTGGATAGTGAGGATGGAAAAGGAAGTGTTGAACGTTAGACATTCTGTGATGGTGTGTGAAGATGCCAAGAGGGTTGTGGGTGAGAGGGGTGAGAAGGGCGAGGAGTTTAGAAGTGACAGAGGAAGAGACTAGGAGAGAACAGTCCCTGCAGCATGCCTACAAGAGATGGGTGGGGAAGATGTATACAGTGAGGACATCCCTCTGAAGGTAGGGCAATTGTGAAGGTTGAT